CAGACTTGCTTTGTCATAAACTCTTATCACGCGTGACATTTTCCTAGCAATGCAAGCCTGCAATTACAGGCCATATATACAATTACTGTCATATATGGTTTAGGTTTCATTTGTTGAGGGTAAGAATTTCAGGAGCTTTCAAGAGTGTCAATTGCTATATTCAATTAGCTGTAATTGAGGTGGGTGGGTTTTTTTTTTTTGTGTGTGTGTGTGTGTGTGTGTGTGCGCGCGTATGCTTGGTTTTTTTTTCCCCACATAAGGTCCATTTAACTGAATGGTAACCACGCAAAGACAAAAAGGTGAACCTCCATCATTTCAGTGGGTCTTAAGGCTTTTTGCCTTGCTCAGTCAAAAGGTTCAATTCAAATATACACCTACTTCTAATGTATTAGGTATCTTAGGAAAGCTGCAAAATCTATTTACCGCAATGGAGCCTATTTGCCCAGTGGGACTTATTTCTGGATCAAGTTGATAGAATGGGCTGCGCTGTGATCAGATGGCTGGTACTTTTCTGTGACCAAGCTGGTCTGCAATTGAAAATTGTCTTGATTTATAGACATCCTGAGCAACGTCTAGATCAAGTGTTTACTTGATCTAGATTTAAATATAAAATTTAAAAATGTTATGTATTCACTTGAAAGTTGATTCTTTGTATTTATCACATTTTCTTTTAATTATTTTACCTGGGATTAGATCCTGTATTTTGTTTTGATATGGTCATAAGATAAATTGATATATATTCATTCTTAAGTTTTCACAGGTACTTACATGTATGGCATTCAGCTTTGTTCGGGTATTTTCCCACATCATAGTAGTTGTGCTTTTAAAGTCGTAACTTTAAAAGCACAACTACTATGACGTGGGAAAATACCCGAACAAAGCTGAATGCCATACACACACACACACACACACACGCACACACACACACTAGTTCTCATCTCGTTTTCTTATCTATCCTCTTATCTCTAGTTCTATCTACCTATCTAATCTTTATCCATCCATTTCATTGCCCACCTGCCAACTTATCATCTATTATCTATCATCCACCTATCGTCTATCTATATCTACCTATCACCCATCCGCCTGTCTGTCTATCTATCATCTATCTCCTCTCATCTCTCTCACGCGCTCATTTTCTATTCAATCTGTTGCTGATGGTGAAAATCTTCCAACTATCTATTTTGTCTCACTTTTGATTAAAGTTGACATGTTCAAGGGATGAGCTAGGCATGCACATAATTAGTTCATTATTTTGACTTGAAAAATGGCTTCGTTCCTGAAACAAAAGAATGTTTATTCCCAAATAAAGCTTGATTGTTTGAAGCTCCCTGTTAAGTGCAGAGTGGAAAAACCTACTTGAGATGTAAAGATCATTCTTTGCATTGCTTCCCTATCTATATTGTTTTATCCTTTTACTGTTATTACACCCGGAGTCTTTGAAATCTGGCCCTATGGAAATGTGAGAAATAAATACGTGAATAAGTAAAAGAAACACAACCCATGAATTAATAGGGTCAACACAAACATTTAATTTAATGAAGCAGCTATCTCAAACAGCAGCTGCTGAAGCAGGATTCTTAATCCCTACCATCTTGTCGCTTATCAGGATAAAGAAATGGGTACCTTATGGCTTGTCCTGCAATTGCTAAATTAGATTAATAGCCTCAGAAGAAGTTAAAAACTTTATTTCTTTGCTAATAATTTTTCCTTTAGCTACCCATGACTTTTAAGGCACATTCCAAAAGTTAAGCAGAACCAGGGAGAAAATAACAGGTATAAGGAAAGCTTGGATTAGCTGAGAACTTAAGGTCTGGACCACATATGATGCCTCAGAGCTGGCTATTATCATTTCTATTCTTCTTGATGTGAATTTGTTAGGAGGGATGGAGATTTTATCCCATCCTATCAGCCTTGGGAGCCTTAAGAATGGAGAGATGATGAAGATGAATGATGTCATCCAGTGGTGGGATTCAATTTTTTTTACTACTGGTTCTGTGGGCGTGGCTTGGTGGGTGTGGCTTGGCTTGGTGGGCATGGCAGGGGAAGGCTACTGCAAAATCCCCCTTCCCTCTCCACTCCACTAACCTGCTTTCCAGCTCTGTTCTCCTTGGTGCAGGGCAACCAAAGACGACCCAGCCGATCAGCTGGGACTCAATGGGAGGCAGAGAATAGATGGGGTTGGCGGGGCCAGTCAGAGGTGGGACTGGCCGGTTCTCCAAACTACTCAAAATGACCACTATCTGTTCTCCAGAATTGGTCAGAACCTGCTGAATACCACTTCTGGCATCACCTGACCAAAAAAGGTATCCAGTCGTTCTATTCTATTCTATTCTATTCTATTCTATTCTATTCTATTCTATTCTATTCTATTCTA